CACTCCATTTTACCCCAATTGAATGGGAACAGCATTCACTAGCGGAAAGAGTCCTGGCCTTGTGATCAGAGATCTGCTAGTTGCTACCTGTGTAACCCTGGGAAAAACCTATTTCCTCACTGGGGCTCAGTTTCCTCCTGTATAGATGATGAGGTTTAACTAGATGATCTCCAATTTCCCTTCCGTGGGTCACAACCTCTATGACTCTCTGACATATGGAAATCTGACCAAGGGTTTGACAGATAGTTATCATGATACCAGAAAGAACATTAAGTTGACCTTATTTTGGTTCGGCCCATAGAGTCACGGAAAGTTGGACTCTCCCTTCAGCTTTTTAAGATGCTTCCCTGCTACTCTGATGATGAATTCAATTCAGCAAGCATTTATTAAATGCCTATTACTATGGACTATGCTCAGCATTGGGGAGGTACAGGCCTTGCCCTCATGGCCCTTATAATCTTGTAGGAGAATATGCTACCTATAGAAGTAACAGCTGTGCAAAAGAGAAAACAGTAAATGCATAAAAGAAGCATGGGAGAACTTGATCTTACCAGTGTTGAGGGCTTTGCTTATTTATTAATCTGGGTTCAACGAATCTTCTCTAAATTATTTCCCAGCAGCCTGAAATACTAACACCTACATTTGTATAGCATTATATAGTTCACAAAGCACCTTCACAAAAGAAGGAAGGAAAGGGAAAGAGGGAGAGATAATTTTTTTACATGAATGATTTCTCTTTCCTTCCTTCCTTCCCTGCTTCCTCCCTCATACACACACTTATGCAGAGCACTGTGTTTTTACAAAGGAGGTACAATACTTAGAGAAGCCCCAGTGCCTGCTCTCACAAACGTCTAGCCCAATTGGGGCATGGAGAGGTACAAAACCAAACAACATAACACACTTGAATGAGTATTGACCTTGGAGAGCTAAGCTTGAAATCATGGATATTGAAATTTGACAGTGTCAATTTCTACCTGTGTGACCTTAGTCAAGTCACCCAACTTTTCTGTGCCCTAAGTTTCCACATCTGTAAAGTGAGGCAGCTGAACCAGAGGGCTCATAAGGTTTAAGGTCCAGCTCTCGATAGACCAACCTGGGATGTTGGGTCACGTCTGGTCTGAGGGGAGAGGTTGCTGCCACGAGCAGGGAAGGTCACTTAGTCTTCACAACAATCCCGATCAGCAGGTAGAGGAGTTATTATCCCCATCTTACCAGTGAGCAAATAATGGCTGAAAGAGGCTTGTCCACTCAAAACTCTAAAAATTTACTCCTGTACAGTTTGCTTCTCTTTCCCTAGCAGAAGCCATCCCCCAGATTAATGTTAAGATGATAATTACTTATTTTTGGTCTGAACCTATGATTTCCTGGGAATTGTAAACTTGAGGCATGCAAATTCCCTAAACTGATGCTGACCAGAAACTTGTCTATCAGTTCTAGCCATAGGGCACTGTCTGATCAATAATTTTTGTTGTTTTATAAATATTATCTCATTTGATCTCACAACAACACTGGGAGGTAAATGCTATTATAATCCCCATTTTGCAGTTGAGACAACTGAGGCAGACATAGATTAAGTCATTTACCCAAGGTCACACAGCTCAAATCTGGCCTCAGGCACTTAGTAGCTGGGTGACCTTGGCCAAGTCACTTACCCGTTTGCCTCAGTTTCCTCATCCGCAATATGAGCTGGGGAAAGAAATGGCAAGCCACTCCAATATCTCTGCCAAGAAGACCCCAAATGTCTTTACAAAGAGTTGAATACAACTGAAAATGACTGAACAACAGCCACTTTAGGGCAATGCAAATCAAAGTCTTATTTGTGTCAGGTCTGTTATACCTGTCCAAATGACCCCAAACCTCAAAGCTACTAGGCTGAGTAGATAAGTCCTCTGGACTTTGCTTCATAGCTTTTAGCAAAGCTATAACTAGGATGGGGTGACTGGGACTTTATCTTCTGGTACTGAATTTAGAGGGTGTTAACAGCACATGCAGTCCTCCAGTAGCATACAAAGAACAGAACTGGATACCTAGTTAGCAAGGATCATTGAGTTAATTTAGGAAGTGCCCAGATTGCAGACCAGTATGCATTCCTTCTTAACTCATCCTGCTTCCTCCACCTCCTGGAGCCTCCCCAGCAGCGGTCTTTCACTGTTCTCTACTCATGATATGACAGTGCTTTAGTCCATCTCACCCACCCCCACCCCTCACCCTTTCCAATGAAGCTACTTGTCAATTTGTGGAACTTTCCCTAGGATCATAAATTCTTAGTTATGGTTCTAGGCTCTAGTGTTGCAGGCAGAATGGAAGGGGGGGGGAATGGTAGTCTAGGGATACAGTGTGAAGCAGGTGGGACCCACAAGGGAATCTTGTGGTTTGGTGGATAGGATTCTCAGAAAGCAAAACATAGAACAGCATAAAATGTGTTGTGAATGCCCAGTCACATGGTACATTATTACAAACAAACACATCACTCATACTAACCATGGCTTAACAGTATCTCAACTTATCATCATTTGAGGCTTGGAAGTATCCAAGGGAACAGCTAAGAATTGCCCATGATTTGTGCTTTGTTTATTGGCCTTCTTATAATCTCTGTGCAGGGCTGTGATTTGGACCCTGGGGTGGAGGAAGAATAATGAAAGCCAATTAAAAAAAAAAGGCTGCTCTATTTAAATACACATTTCATTCAGCGGGTCATATTTTGCAGGGGGAGTTAGAACAAATAATATTCCTGAAATCCTATAATAGGCAGTATGGTATAGTGGTTAGAGAATCAGACTTGAATCAGAGCATCAGGAAAACCAGCATTCAAAACCTGCCTCTAATACTTATTTGCTGTATGAACAGGAGTGAATTACAACCTCTAAGAGGCTCTCTGTCCTCCTGTTGAAAATGGGATTGAACCCTGTTTTCCAAGGGAATACATCATGGGAAAGTGCTTTGTAAATCTTGAAGTGCTTTACAGAAATGGTTTCTTGTTTTGAGCACATACAAGCAAATCCTTCAGCTTCAGTGGAGGTGGATATGGGGCTGGTGCTACTGAGGGCACAGGCAACACACGATACAAGGCCAAGTACTGGACTTGGAGTCCATGGAGCTGGGTTTGAATCCTGCCTCTGCTACTTACTACTTGTGTTATCTTAGGAAAATCACCTTTCCCTCTCTGGGGCCTCAGTTTCTTTATCTGTAAAAGAAGGTTGGGGTCTATCTCTTCTGAGGTCCCTTACTGCAGCAGTGTTAAACTCAAGTGGAAATCAGGGCCCGCTAATTGGTAAATAAGGATCTCTGTGGGATGCATACTGACTTAGTTTTTAAATGTTATTTTTTTGAATTTTTATTATTTTGTTAAATGTTTTCTCAATTACATTTTAATCTGGTGTGGGGCATGATCAAGAGCAATGCAGACCAAAGCCATGTGTTTGACATCTCTGCCTAAGGCTTCTAATCCTGTTCCTAGAGCTAAGTTTCTCTCCCAGGAAGACTCCCTTAGGTGGTTCTTCAAACCGGAGGTAGATCCACTTAACGATCTCTGAGCGGGTGGAAATACTCAACAAGGATTTTTTTTTTTCTGGCAGAATATACTGTCTCTCACTGGTGTGGCCAGGAATGGAAGCACGCTTTTGTCTGAGAGAATGCCACCCCAGGTTCTCATTCCATGGATGTAAGCACAGGCTGCTGGGGGTAAAGGGCTCTTTAAAATCCTCCTGTGCACAGCCCACAGAGGCATGTCTCCAAGCCACAATTTTAAAAGAGGGCACAGACCTTGAACACTTTGTCTGGGCAGATTGACAGGAACACTGCAAGCTTTCCATTCCCTGAATCTCTGGCTGGATCTGCCAGCTTCGTATTGTGACTGGTTTTCACACCAGGCAGCACACATGCTGTATGCTCTTTATTGTCCCCACCTTTGTCCTTCATAAACACATTTTCCACTGACCTTGGTGCTTGAGACAAAGTTCCTGGCTGGATGGAGAGCTGACTTTGGATTCAAGAAGACTTAGGTTCAGATCTTGCCTCTAACCCATGTGTAACCGTGGGTAAGTCAAAACCTCTCAATGCTTCTAGGCAATTCTCTAATACTATAAGTTATAACAAAGGTTGCCCTGCACTGGCAGACGGAATTTCCTCACCTAGATGTTCACTATATCAATGAAATCACAGGTAGGTGGCTCAGTGGATGGTCTAGCAAGTGTCCTAGATGAAACTAGAGTCAAGAAGACTTGAATTCAAATCTAACTTCAAACACTTTCTAGTTATGTGACCCTGGGCAAGTCACTTAACCACTATTTGCCTCTATTTCTTTGCCTCTAAAACAATATTTAATAACAGTACCCACCTCCCTGGGTTGTTATAAGGATAAAATGCAATAGTATTTATAAAGCGCTTTACAAACTTTAAAGCATTATATAAATGCTAACTCTTATTATCCCCATCCCTAAACACATTTGCCATTGACTTTTACATTAGCATCCCTGAATGTGTGACTGTCAATGACTCTAGCACGGTGATGGTGTTGATTTTGCTTAGCCTGCGCTTATATTCTTATGTTAGATTCAACTGTGTTCCTTCTCTGCGCTGGGGGTGCCACCACAAGTGTTTCCAGGGATCAGGCTGGTGAGGATCAAACTGAGCCAGGCTTGCTTCCTGGAGATAAGCTGAATTCCTCTCCACTCCCCCTAGGTCAACTCTTGCAGTATTAGAAGAAGTAAATTGCCAGAGGCAGAACCCTCTTCATTCCCTCCCTGACCTGAATCTCTCTTCCCTGACCTTTCTCTTTGGGGCTGGACAGTTTTTGTCTGGCCAGGAAGCAGATTCTGTGACCTCACTTCTAGCTTTGCCCCATGCCATCCCACTCCCTAGTTATGCCCCTGGCGGCTGGCATTGTCCAGGATGTGTCAGTGTCACTACTGCAGAGAAAAGAGAAATGTATGGGCCTACAAGGAGGGGTGAAATCTGATATGCCCCCTGTCCTACCCCCCAACAGAGAATTAGAACTTCACCTGACAGGTGCACCCCGGGACCGTGCAGGCTTCAGCATGACAGTGATGGTTGTGTCTGTCTCATTCAAAGGCGAATCTGTGTCATACTCAGGCATTGAAGGAGCTGTGGAGAGAGGGGAGGGGAGCAGGTGGGCAGGAGAAGAGAAGGAGAGGAGTAGAGAAAGGGGGGAAGAGAGATGGGGAGAGAAGAGAAGGGAGGGGGAGAGAGGAGGGAGGGAGAGGGACAAGGAGAGGAGGGGAAGAGATGGAAAGGAGGGAGAGAGTGAGAGAGAGGGAAAAGGGAGAGAAAGGAAAAGAGGGAGAGAAGAGAAGGGAGGGAGGAAGAGAGAGGAGGGGGGAGAGAGAGAAAGACAGAGAGAGAGAGAGAGAGAGAGAGAGAGAGAGAGAGAGAGAGA